ATCTAGTATATCAAAAGAAGGTGACACTAGCTGGTCACTCTGTTATACTCAAAATAATTTATTGTACATTTAAAAATAAAAGCATATAACTGGATTGTTTGTAATACAGAGAAAGGATAAATGCTTGAGGTGATGGCTGTTTATCCTGATGTAATTATTACTCATTATATGCTTGTATCAAAATAGCTCATATACCCCATAAATATATATACCTACTATGTATCCACAAAAATTAAAAATAAAAAAATTTTAATGTCAATTATTTGTTGAAGAAACCAGGTCATTTGTCATATAGGTTCTTCTCACAGTCCGGATTTATCTGATTGCAATCCCGTGGTGCCATTTTACATGTTCCTCTGTCCCTAGTATCTCTTGTAAATTGGTAGTTTTATCTAGAAGCTTGATTGTATTCAGATTCTGTCTTTTTGGCAGGACTACTTCTTATTGTACAATGGTGCTATACCCAGTGCCTGTGTATTTTCTTTTATAGCATATCAAAAGGCAATTTCTTTTTTTTGTCTTTTAATAATATTAAGACTGATCAATGAGTCCAAGAATTATCAGCTGAATTTGTCTTTTATAAAATTCTCTGCAACCTTTCACTTAATGATATTAGCAACCATTGATATTTGCTGTAATACATTATTTCATTAGGAATTACAAAGTAGTGATTTTTAGAATTCTGTCATTCCTTTGCATTTTTTTAGCCTCTGTGAGGAAGTTTTCTTTAGCAACTCTTTGGTGACTCTGAAAACCAGTTTTAATTACTTACTTTTTGCTTAATTACTTCTTTTATTTATCAATTTTTAGGTTAATTTATCAATTTTATCAACTAGATTTTTGAGGGGAAGATAATATTATTAAGAACTCATGGATTTTTATATGTTTGAAGTGTTTCAATCCATTGTAATCGTTATTTTGGGGCCAGTGGGAGCCTCTTTCACATTGGCTACAGAATAGTACTTTATAATTTATAAGATACTTAACCGTACATTAGTCATTTGAACTTCACAAACAACCCTATGAAGCTAAGTGTTACTACCCAGTTTTACAAATGAGAAATCCAGATCACACAGCGCAAATCAGGACTTGACGTCTATTGTTCTTTGTATTACATGAGACAGTGATTGAAAGAATGAGTGTTAAAGGTGACTAAATTCTTTGTATTTTTCTTTTCTCTGCTTCTGAGACTAAACAGCAGCTGTCTTTAACCAGTGGGAATATGATATTAAGCAATATCCACTTTAGAAGACATTACTTGCAGCAAACACTGTTGATAATACTGTAACTTAGTAAATAGCCTCTCTCAACTTTGTTTGTGAAGCATTTCAATTTTGATTACTCTGTGTGGGATCTACTGCTCAGATGTGTGTCATTTTATGGTCTACCCATGTCTGGGGAGCTGGCATTACATGCTGCCTAGTGTTTTTAATTCAGAAGTTCTTCTAAAAGAAACCTTAGCCTCCTATATTCCAACCCTAGTTTTAATAGCATAAGCTATTTCCTTCTTATATAGCTTTGTGGGCATAGTAATAAAATAAATACCACAAAATCACTGATGAGATGAAAATTGAGCTCCCTGCTTCTGTGCAGCCATGTAGGTAAAACAGTAATTGGCTCTGATAATAACTTTTGTTCTTACAAACCAAAGTCTGAATGAGAGTCACATTTGATAGATCTGCTTGTAATTACCATCAAAAGGAGAGAATACAAAGTTTAGATTGTTTAGTGACTCAAGATAGATTACATACATTGATATCTTTTCTTGACCAATTTACTAAAATTTTCTGAAATTATTTCTGATATTTATCTTACTGTTGGTAAAAAATGATCATCTTCCAGAGCATACTTTCCTGCTTAATGGAATGATTAATTTTATTTTTGTTTTTGAAGTCTATAATTGATTTTCTTGAAAACCTTATTATTGGGTCTCATAATACAGCACATGTTTATAAGTATTTTCCCATATATCACAATAGATGGTTTGTAAGACAAATTTAGGTTTTGAATGTATTTGGTAGTGAATTTCAGTGAAACATTTGTTATGTTAATTTTTTTTTTTTTTTTTTTTTTTTTTTTTTGAGACTGGTCCTCACTCTGTTGCCCAGGCTAGAGTGCAGGGCATGATCTCAACTCACTGCAACCTCCACCTCCTGGGTTCAAGCAATTCTCATGCCTCAGCCTCTCAAGTAGCTGGGACTCAGGCGCCCGCCACTATGCCTGGCTAAGTTTTGTATTTTTAGTAGAAACGGGTTTCACCATGTTGGCCAGACTGGTCTCGAACTCCTGGCCTCAAATGATCCGCCCACCTCGGCCTCCCAAAGTGCTGGGATTACAGGAATGAGCCACTATGCTCATATGATTATGTTAATATTCTTTAAACATAGATGCCTTTTAAGTGTTTTTGAAAAGAGCAATTAAATCATGTGTGCTACATATTACTATTTTGGTATACACAAGCATTGGTACCAAAATAGTAAATATGAGAACATTAATATTTTTAAATTATCTTTTAACCTCAAGTCATTGCTTTAGAACCCAACAATAAAGAATTGATAGTACATCTATCATTTCTGTTGGATTTCTATTTACATACTGATTTCTTTTCAGAAATAACACTGTCTAGTGCTACAGAATTTAACAATAAGCAGAACACTACAGGATTTTAAGGCCAGTTTTAACAGTGATTCTGTATTTGGCCATTTCCTCCCTATACCAGACCTATAACCACACAAACTTGATGGAGCATGATAAAACTAAGAAAACTGCTATGGCCCACTGAGCAAATAATCCCGTAATTAAAAATTCTAACAGCTTAGACATGATAGATGAAGCTATTACCATCAATTCTGTATCCAGAATACACACATTTTAAAAATACCCTAATTACAAAAACCCAGATCCAGTCAATATAATACATATTAGCAATTTCCCAATCCTTAGTAGAATAGAAATTATTCTGAACGTTTAAGAAGGAAAATATTATGTTCAGGTATTAATTTCAATAGAAGAGGCAATCTGCTTCCATGCAAAAACCCTGGAGTAGTGCTGTGAGTGTTACCACAGAAGAAGAGCCATTTATAATTAGGTGTGGCATTACTTTTGTGACCACATGTACCTCAAGGAGAAGGAAATAGACATGCCTTGTTTGAATCCTGTATTCTTGCCCAGATTAAATAAAGTAGACAGTTGAGGACAGTTATTTGGAGATTTGGTTTAAGAAATGCTATTGGTTGGGTACGGTGGCTCACACCTGTAATCCCAGCACTTTGGGAGGCTCAGGCGGGTGGATCATGAGGTCAGGAGTTGGAGACCAGCCTGACCAACATGGTGAAACCCTGTCCCTACTAAAAATACAAAAATTAGCCAGGTGTGGTAGCATGTACCTGTAATCGCAGCTACTCAGGAGGCTGAGGCAGGAGAATCACTTGAACCTGGGAGGCGGAGGTTGCAGTGAACGGAGATTGTGTCCCTGCACTACAGCCTGGGTGACAGAGCGAGATTCCATCTCAAAACAACAACAACAAACATGCTATTAAAAAGTAAAAGGAAGATTTGGAATATCTGTTAAGAAAGACCTTACCTAGACATATCTATGCTTATCTAGCATACATTCTGTAGATATTTTTGTAGCCGCCTTCTTCACTTTGACCTTAGGCACAGACCCTTTATGAATGCTTATGTCAAAGAAATAGCTGGATCATGAACAAATCTGTCTGATTCCTACAACCATTTTAACAACTGCGTCAGATCACCCTCAAAACTAAGACACTTAATTGAAGGGAAAACAGTTAAGTTGCTCACGGTACTTCTAACCTCCTTTTAAAAAAGTTACAAAGCCTACAAACCTACATATTTTGACTCCATTTTTATGAAATGTCCAGAATAGATATACATCAGTAGAGACAAAAAGTAGATTACTGGTTGCCTGCAACTAGTGGGAGGAGGGAATGGGGAGCAATTGCTAATGGGTATGAGGTCTCATTTTGGAGTGATGCACATGTTCTGGAATTAGATAGTGGCGATCGTTGTAGGAATATACTGAAAACCACTGAATTGTACACTTTAAAGGGGTGAATTTTATGGTATATGCATTGTATTACAATTTTAAAAATCACAAAAGACTAGAAATTATTAATAATACCATATTCCCTACGTGTGAAATTATCTTTTAGCCTAAAATCATAGAATCCCAAAGCTCGGGCATGGTTCTTCAAGAGACCATCAAGTCTAACATGCATTTTGCGAATAAAGAAACTGACTTCCATAGAGGTGAAGTGACTTACCCAAGGTCACACAGAGCAGTCGAGAGGAGAGCTGGCACCTAGGGGTCCTGACAACTATCTAGTGCCCCTTCCCACCCCCACTATGTGGCCCACTCTCATGGTTTATTTTTAAGCATGTCAATGATAACTAATTTGAATTATTTAAAATGAGGAATAAGTGGTTCAAACAAGAGGCCTTTTTTTTTTCCTAATGAAAGCATAAATTATTCTTGCAGATAACAGAATCTCTGTGAAGGAGTAGATAAATTTGTTATAAATTTACCAGGCCCAAATTGAGATTTACCTGTAAATGTCCCTAGAGGAAAGTGGCCACATTAACAGACCAAGGGAGCCCTCTGCCTGTGTATTTGTGGTATAGATTTCATTGGCAAAATCCTTGACCTGGAAAGCTAAAAATAAATTAAGACCAGGTATTCTATCTAGTCCTTTGCCCACCTTGGTTGGCTTCCAGCGTTATTTTTGAGAAAATGTGTCTGAGGATGTATTTGTGGGAGCAATGGGATATACGGAGGAAAACCTATAGAAAGTTCCTTTTCTGTGAATAAAAGGGACTGATTAGCAGCCTAAATAAAAGATCCAAAAGTATTTTTTTCCAGTGAGAATTTCATTAAAATAATTATTTCCAAAGAACTTTAAACTCCTTTGAGGATATAAAATGTTAGTAAGCATTTTTGTTCATCCAGCATGAAAGTTTCATTGTTATCTTTGTTTCAGCAAAAGATAGGGTTGAATGTAAAAATCATGCAGGATCCTGAAAACATCCACCACAGAGCTGCTGTAAATGCGAACTATGGAATCAGTTTACCATATATTAATCAGAGAAAAGCATGTGTAAGTAATGAGTTGTTTTAATGAGCTCTTATTTTTTAAGAAATAAAAGTCATTTATTAGTAGTGTAAGATGTAATGTAGATATTAAGTAAAGATTGTGATCCTTTTGTCTTTGGAATTTTTTGGAGATGGAGTGGCTCTCATTCTGTTTGTAATTAGCAATGATTAAGAAAATGTACGCCTATTTTAAAGACTTATTTGTAGCTCATTCAGATTTCTCTATTTTATTTGATATTCCTAAATAATCTAGTACCATAATTTTAATGAGGAAATAATTTACCAGCAAAAAGAATTAACAGAGAAATTTTAAATATTATATTTCTTTGATAGTAGGCTTAGCACTAGAAAAATCAAAATAAAACAACAGCACAGAATCCTCTTCACTTGTGTATACTCTCATAATGTACAAATATTTGAGAATATTATTCTAAAGCTGAGGTAAGCAGGGACTAATCCTTTATGTCAGCAAAATAATGAGAGGGAAAAAGAATCAAATGTAGATTTGCAGGAAGAGATCTCAGAGTTGATGCCTATTTTTGCCATTGACTAGATGCTACCTTGTCCTAAAGCAAGGATTGTACTCTTTCCATGTTGTGGAGTTTTCTTAGGAGAATTAAGAGTAGTGCTTCATTTTAACTGGGAAATTATTTAATTTGAGATCATTTCTAACACTGAAAACAATTACTGAGGTAACATCTCTATTTTTGTAAATACATTTTTAACCTTTGGCTTCTCTCAAAAGCTCTTAAATGTATGACTTGGTGAAATCAAAACTAAAAGCAAGATTAATGTTAGAATTAAATTGCAAAGCCATTTCTAACTAGCATAATAGTCTCTTAGATTAATCTTAAAAATTTCCTACATAGACATTTTCAACTGCCTACTTCATTCATGTAACCCTGAAATGTATTTTCAGTTTCTTTATATGTGCTTTATGTTATTCTAACAGGTTTGGTTTAAGAGCACTTTATCTTACAAATACTTTTATAGCCTAAGAAATAACTGGAAAGTTAGATATTTTTATTCCTGCTGAAACTTTATTTAAAATGTCACTGTGAATAATGTGAAAGGGTTTTTATCTGCTTCCCATGAGCCCAAAGCTCTTGAAATACAAATATTATTTCTCTGGCAACACAGACAGAAGCAGATTTCTCTTTTGTTGTTGTTGGTTTTCCTCTTCAATCTAGAATTAATATTGGCTTAGCTGGAGGAGTACTGAGGCTTTGTAGCCCGAGGCAACTGTTGTGTTTCATGCGAACTTTTTCTGATGAGTACTGGAGTTTTAAAAGGCATACCTCTAGATTTAGAAAGGATTATGCTTTGCTTTATGAATCTGAATGAAGATTCAGACTTAAGTAAATAGAGATTTCAAAATTATATCCAAAACTTGGGACAGATTCTTAGTCACTAATTTTTCCAGTTTCCAAATAGAATGAATGCCTTGGATGTTGTATCTATATACTTTGAGCAAAGAGAATTTGGGAAAGCACTTTGCCTTTTATGACATATAGCTAAGAGATGTTCATTTACTGTATTAAATCTCCCTTTTCCGTCAAACTTGATGCCATAAAAATCTACACCAGAGCAACTTAAAATTGGATGTACATTATGTATATTTTTTTCAAACTGTCAGCCTTTTGATCAAATAGTTATCATTTTGTGTTAATATAGTTGTATGGTAGTACTAACTGAAAAACAGCATTTTCATTTTGGATTTACAAAACAGAAGCATTGTGCAAAAAGCACTGTGAAATAAGTTTGTTCAGGTATTTGGTTTTAAACAGTCATATAAAGCATTTGGGGATAAATGCAGTTGTGATTTACCACTTATAAAAATCATATCAAAAGCACTAACCCAAACTGAGTAATGTGTCTAGCATTGTGATGTATAGTTAATTAGAAAGGCATCATCAAAGCTAATCATTTTAGAACTAAACACTCGAAGGGGATTATTATTTGGCTGCCGAGGGCCATGTGTTTCCTTACTTCTTATGAAACTTGATCAGCTTGTCAAAAGCCTGTAAATAACCTTAGACATTTTTGACAGAGCAAATGTGAATATGTAGCCACCTTCCATTATTTGTTCCCAGAAGCTGGTATCTTCTCCATCTTAGGAAGTGGTGTATTCCTCCTGATAAGAGGCTGATGCAAGGATTTTAGTGCATCGAAAACACATATAACCCCTGCCACACACACATACTCATATTGCAAAACTATCTTGAAAATTGTATATCCTGTGACTCTGTTATGTAAAATCAATTTACCAAAAACGTATTAAAAGTGAGACTCACTGGTGGTTTTTTCAATATCTTCAGTCTGCCAAATAGTAACAAACAGCCTTCTAACATTTTTTCTAGTAGGTCCTCAAAGGTATGTGGAAACAAGAAGAAATCCCTGGTACTGTTCACATTTCCTCACTGACATCTAGTTCCAGTTAGAGTTTATAATATAACACATTAAGATATCTACAGAAAATTTGACTTTAATTTATTTCTTTTAAATAAAAAGTGTTTCTTAAAAGGCTTGAAACATGTATCTGTTAACATGAATTTTAAAAGAACGATTATGAATGCATAACAAAATAGCCAAACCAAACATTGCTTTGAATTGCTGCACAAATAACTCTGATTATAACTGTTATGACCTAGAAAAGAATCATAAAAACATTTTTCTTTTTGGCAAGATATGAGTTGCTGTAGAATTATACCATTTCTTTGGTCCCACTTTCCAAATAAATAAATATATAATGCAATGTAAACTTAGAATCTTTTATTTATTCATGAGGTTGAATTTAATACTATTATGATTCCTAGATTTTATGAGTCATATGTTATGCAGTGTTTTCCACTAACTTAGTTGGGTAGCAACCACACTTCACAAATCATAGTTTCATTCTTTACTGTTTCACTTGGGGTGTACATAGTAATCTCTCTCTCACTGAAAGCATATTCATTTCTGAAATGATAAAGTAATAGAAAGTGAGGCAATTGTGTTAATGTCAAATGATTAGAAGAAGCACCAGAAGTAAGGGGTGGGGGCAGGGGGTGGGAGTGGAGAAAGAAGGGCGATTTCAGAACATGATTGTGTTTTAAGCCCATGCATATGGCCACAATTACAGTCACAATATAATTTGGCAACAGTAGCAGAATTAGATTTAAACAAATTGATGTTACACTGCAGTAATTCAGAATGAGCTTGTTGCATTTATAAACCATAACAAGAAGCAGAGTGAATTAATAAACCCTTCTTGTCACTAAAAATAAAAAAAGGGAATAATTGCTGAGATGGAGTTAACTTAACAGATGACTATAGTCAGCATCCTTTCAGGCTAGATATGGGAAAGTGAAGGTCACCCCCATCTCAGATGACAAAGAGGGAACATTTTGTTGGTAAACAAATTAATCTTTTGAAAGGTCGCCATTTGTTTTAAGTTTTTATCCAGTTCTTGTCATCTGGAATCAGAGATTGACTGTCATTTCACCAGGCAGGGGTGCAGTTGAGGCAGACAAAGCTGCTTCTGTACGTATCAGCATTCCTTGACAAAACTCAGTGCCTGATTGTGATGCTATGGGCTGCTGGTTTACAGCTGTCTCCGGACAAGAGTGGAGGCCCACCCCTGAATTCCAATAAGATGGGCCTGCATGTTCTGCCTGCTGTAAGCTGGCCCTCTGCCCACAAGTAAAATGTATTGTAGTTCAAGCCAGCAATTATCTCTTTTACTTCCTTCTGTGCTGCTTCTGTTCTCTTTTTCCGAAAACAGATGTGGGTATTCACTCAAGTTCTGCATCTATTCTTTCTCACACCTGCTGGGGCAGAATTTTGACAGAGGTAGAGTTTGAGGGAGCCAGCAGACAACAATCAGATGCAATTTCTTTGAGAGCAGTTTAAAAAGAAAATGTTGATTTTTCAGGAAATGTGGAGTCAGCATCTTGGCCCCCCTCCCTTTTCCCAGGAGCATTTGGTAAATTAAATTAGTTGAACAAAAGGAAATAGCTTTAAAGACATTCTGAAATGCCATATCCTATTTATGACATACAGTCATTACCCAAGGACTGTGGTGGCATGCACAACATGCCACTCCCATCATTTAAAGAGAGCTTTCTCTTCAGGTTGCTTAGATAAAGAGTTTTCAACAAAGGAATGACTTTTCATGTCCTTCCTGATTCACAGCCTACACAATGTATTCCACCAGTATGGCAGTGATGGTGGTGGTGGTGGTGGAGGTGGTGGTGTATTGCCTTTGTATGTTGTTGCTGTTTAGAATTTCCATTCTGCATTGGTTTGGAGTGACGGGAAAGCTGAGGAAAGCCATGGAATGTTAGCTGGTGGATGGCTGTCTCACTAAAGCCCATTGCTCTGGGGGCAGGGAGAGGCAATGAGAGGCTATAGCCTTGTCAGATAACATTCAGAAAAAAAACTAACAGTAGTGAGTTCTTTTAATTTCTTTTCTTTTTTTTTTTTTTTTTTTTTTTTTTTTGAGATGGAGTCTCGCTCTGTCGCCCAGGCAGGAGTGCAGTGGCGCAATCTCAGCTCACTGCAAGCTCCGCCTCCCGGGTTTACGCCATTCTCCTGCCTCAGCCTCCCCAGTAGCTGGGACTACAGGTGCCCGCCACCCCGCCCAGCTAGTTTTTTGTATTTTTTTTTTAGTAGAGACGGTGTTTCACCGTGTTAGCCAGGATGGTCTCGATCTCCTGATGTTGTGATCCGCCCGTCTCCGCCTCCCAAAGTGCTGGGATTACAGGTTTGAGCCACCGCGCCCGGCCGAGTTCTTTTAATTTCTTTACAGTGGTATATTTCTTGAGCTTCTCTGCCAAGATCCTGCATGCATTCCCAAACCAACCCCGTGCTGAACTGAAACCACTTTTTAGCTCTCAGAATAGTGATTCTGGGTCAGACTGCCTGGTGTGAATCCTTACTAGACTGGGATCTCCCAGAAACAGTCTCCCTTTCCTCATGTAAAATGTCCATAATGAATGTATCTATCTCATAGGATTGTATTGA